TTGGCTCTTTTGTGATGGGGTAACCAGGCTTCTCCTCACCCACCTACCCTTGTGCATTTTTTTCTCTCTGCTCTCTGTGCCAGGTGCATTTCCAGACCCAAGCCATGTCCTGCAACACCCAATGCCGTCCCTGCCAGCCCTGTGGCCCCACCCCRCTGGCCAACAGCTGCAATGAGCCCTGTGTCCGGCAGTGCCAGAGTTCCACTGTCGTCATTGAGCCACCTGCTGTGGTGGTGACSCTGCCYGGYCCCATCCTYAGCTCCTTCCCTCAGAACACCGTGGTGGGATCCTCCACCTCTGCTGCTGTTGGCAACATCCTCAGCTGTGATGGAGTGCCCATCAACTCTGGGGGCTTTGACCTGTCCTGCATCACCAGGCGCTACGGTGGCAACAGAAGTCGTCCCTGCTAGAGATGCTGAGAAAACCCAACAGGACATCTTGAGCAACTCAACACAGTGCTGGGCAGAGGATCTAGGTTTTGATAAAGACAGCTGTTTGCCGGATAGCTGACTGAACTTGCCTCTCTTTCCCTTTTCATTTTTTGCATTGGTTTCTATGTGCTGCAATGTTCCCCTCAGGCCACCTTGGCGGGGACCATTTGGTTTGTTCCCTTTGTGGGATAGCTAAACCAGTGTTATACTGGAATTATTCCAGAGCCAAGGAGCGCAGACTCTGCTGCCCTCCCTGCGGCCTCCGCTGCTGACCTCCACTTGCAGTGGCTTTGTTTCCTTCTTTCATTTCATTAAAGTTCTGCTGCATTCAAGTCTGGCCTCTGTGTGGTCCTTCCCYCCGGTTTCACTCCTGAATGCCAAAGGAGGAAGGCATTGCTCTGCTCTGGAAGTGGGCGAGGGCGMATGGAGACCCTTCTCCATTCACAAAGGAATGGAATTTTGGGGGTCCAAGGAGTTTCAGCACTTAAGGGTGCAATCCCTTGGAACTGAAGGGAGTGTGACATGGGTAGGCACATGCACACACACACACACACAGACACATACAGGTCAGAAAGGAATCACACACAAATTCCTGCACCTGTGTATATTCACACAGTCCYAGCTGCATGCAAGTGCCTGTGAGACAAGAACACTCAAAGACACAGCCAGCACAGCTYCACGAGAGGAAAGCCCTGCTTATCAAATCTGATTTCCTTTCATGACAAGGCAGCACAYCGGCTTGATCAAGGGAAGTCAGATGATATAATCTTTTAGGACTTCAGCAAAACTTATGATACTGTCTCTCTCAGGATCCTTCTGGACAAAATATCCAGTCCACAGCTCGATGGGTGATTGAGTGSCTCATGGGTTGGGCACAATCAGGTGACTGGAGTGACATCAGACAGTGATGGGTTACCTGCCACTATTAGTGTTCTGTAGTGCTTCATCCTCAGCCCTGTGCTCCTTAAGATCTCCATAAATGACTGGCATCAGGACTGGAGGGGAAACTAAACAAGTTCACAGCGGAAACAGTACTGGGAGGAGCTGTTGACTCCCATCCCAAAGGCTGGGATGCCCTGCAAAGATGCCTCAACAAATTAGAGGGCTGGGTAATCACAAACCATATGAATTTCATCAAGAGCAAGAACCCAGTTCTGCACCTGGGATGGGGCAACCCTGGATGTACAGACAGACCAGGGAAAGAGAGCCTGGAAGCAGGGCCATGAAAAGGAACCCGGGCGTGGTCAGTGGCAAATTGGATATGAGCCAGCAGTGCCCTGGCAGCC